AGAAGAATTAAAAAGGGAAAATATTAAGTTAATAAATAATTCTAATAAAGAATGGATAGAGAAATATAAAAAATACAAACATAGTTATTATGATACCAAAAAAGAATTAAAAGAGACTAAACTAGAATTAAAACAAATGAAACAAGAAATGGATAATTTAAAAATAGAAATAGAAGCGTTACAAAATTCTATGAAAAAATTGAAAGGAAAAAATAAGATAAGTGATACGAGTAGCATAGACACTTGTAGTGATGATAGTAGAAAAGAAATAGAAAATAATAAAAAAGATTTAAAAATAGTAGGATATATAGAAGGTTTAGTAGATGAAGAAGAAGAAGATTTTGAAATAGTTAAAGAAAATGATCAAATTATAGAAGTATTAAGAAAAATGAAATCAGTAAATGCAATAATAGAAGAAGAACCAACAAGCGATATAGAAGAAGAATTTGAAAGAAATAATGATATAGAAACAGAAGCTGAAACAGAAGACATAATAAATGAAGATGCTAATGACTATCCTGAAGAAGAAATAGTAGATCCAAACTTAGAAATAATTAGTAGAAGAAAAACAAGTCTACCAGACCACATACCAATAGGACAACAATCTGAATTCAAAGACTTCGTAGGATCTATGAGTCAATGAGTAAATTTAAATGGATACTTTCTAGATTTAGATAATGTGTACGATGAACAAGAAATTAATAGAAGAATACACGATTGGAACTTAGGAATGTTTATAACACTAATGAACTCAAACTGTACCTCAAATCTAGACTATGTGTATGATTTAATATCAAAAACTTTAATAGGAAAAGTAGGATTTTGGTTTGAAACTATAACCGTTCAATTTAGAGCACAAGCACGTAATTATGCTACAGATTGGAAATCCATGTTGTCAATATTTGACATAGTATTAAAAAGAGAATTTTTAGGAGAAAGATGGTTTGTATCACAAGAAAAAGTAATAGCAGAAAGAAAAACAGAAATAATAATGAATTTGAACAATATGAAATGTTGTAAAATTAGTAAATTACCAGAATATACTATAAGTTTTAGTAAATTCTTTTATGAAGCAAGATTTTCTCAAGATGAAGGAATAACATATCAACAACTTTACTACGATCATCTACCAACACCATATAATACCGAAATAACTAAAGAATATAGTCAATATGAACCAAAAGAAAATACTTTAGGAGAAAGAATTAGAGTATTAAGATCATATTTGATGAGAAAATGTGAAGAATATAGAATACAACAAAAGATTAAAAAAGATAAGAGAAAAGGATTAAGAGAAATATGTGGATTTACGGAGAAAAGACTAATATTTGGATGTGACAAAGACTATAAAGACAAAAGAAGGAAAAGAAAATACTCTAAAAAATATAAGAAATATAGGAAAAATAGAAACAATGAATCTTAACAAGTCATATTATAAACCATATTATAAGAGATATAAAAGGAAAAAATTTAGAAAATAAAGAAATACCCCTGAAAATAGGAGAAGATTTAGAAATAAGAGAAGATTTAGAAAAGAAGAAAGAATATGAGACCATTAGAAGGAGAAAATAAAAAACCTTACGAATGTAGATGTTGGAATTGTAATGAAAAAGGACATTATGCAAATAAATGCCCTAAACTAAAACAAAAAGGAGTAAAATATCTTAATACTACTGAATTTATCATGAACTTAGAACAAATACAAGAAGAAAATGACCAATGGTATGAATATGAAATATTTTATATTAGTGAAACAGAACCAGAAGAAGAAAATATTAATGAACTTAGTAATAATGAAAGTAGTGAAGAAGAAAGTTCAGAATAATGGAAAAAGGATGGTTAGTATTAATGCAGATAAAATTCATAAAAAATATCGAAAGAAACTTCATAGAACAAATGATAACTTTAAAAAGAGTAGAAAATTTGTTAGAAGAAATATTAGGAGAAGATTTAAAAGATAAAATTATGGAAATTTATTATTATCATTTATTATATAAGAATAAAATATGGTAGCAGTTTATATAGAAACCTATGTAGAATATAAACCTAATAAGATGGCAATACAAAAAATATTTATAGATAGCGGAGCAGATATATGTTTAGCTAAAAAAGAAGTAATAGCACCATACCGATGGAAAAAATCAAACAGACATAGAATAAAAGTCTCAGGATTTAATGAACATAATAAAGAGTTAGATGTAATAGCTGAAGATGTAAAAATTATATTAGATAAATTAATATTTAAAATACCAATAGTATACCAAGAAAATAATATGAAACACCCTTTATTATTAGGAAATAATTTTTTAGACTTTTTCAAAACACAAGTAATAAATAGCGAGACGTTGAGCCTATTAACACCATGTAACAAATGGGTAAATCCTATCATTTTATGGGATTATTAAAAATAAATTAAAACAAAAATATTTGGAATTATTAAAAATAAATTTTGGAGAAAATCCTATCATTTTATGGGATAAAGAAAAGATATATGCTGATATAAAATTAATAAATCCAAATGATATTATAAGAAGTAAACCTATAAGATATAGTCCAACTGATCAAAAAGAATTTGAAATACAAATAAAAGAATTATTAGAATCTATATCTATATATATATATAAAAGTAAAATCCTCCTAACAAATTTTCCCCCCAAAACTTTTGTAGTAAAACTTATTTGGTAAGTAAATGTCAAATGGAAATTAAATTAAATAAATAATAATAATAATAATAATTTTATTACCTTAAATAAATAAATTATTATACTTTCCTTTTGAATTAGTATTTTCTACCTATAAATACAATGGCTTCTTCAATCAAAGAATCTCAGACTCATCTCTCTGCTTTGTTTTTGTATGAATTTTTTACATTTTTCTAACTATATTCTCACGTACTTCAATATGTTTTGCAGTTTATATCGTCTGGTATGAGTTTGAAGATATTTAAGGAAGCTCTGCTTCAACAAAAGGAAATTGAGGAGGAAAAGCATTTGTAACAGAACCATATTGGTTTAGTTTTTATGGAAGATTGTAGAGATGCGATCGAGGATGATAAAGACGATATTTTGATGATTTTGTAAAATTTTCTGAAACTTAGAGTTAGTATGTTAATTTCGAGATTTGTACATGCCATTCAAGTTTCTATGTTTTTTTTAACAAGCATAGTTCATTTTACAGCATTTTTATAATATATATATATATATATATATATATATATATATATATATATATATATATATATATATATATATATATATATATATATATATATATATATATATATATATATATATCCGTAGTATAATATAATATAATATAATAATAATAATAATAATAATAATAATAATAATAATGATGTTATTAACTTAAATAAATAAATAAATTATTATTCTTTCCTTTTAAATTAGTATTTTCTACCTATAAATATAAATTAGTATTTTCTACCTTAAATAAATAAATTATTTTACCTAATTTATATTATATTCTTTAAGCTACAATTTTGACATGATATCTTCGAAGCCCATTTTATTATATTGAGCCTTGGTACACAAGTCCAAATCAAATATATGTATGTACACGCATAACAATAATCCTAATCTATAAATTTTTCCCTCAAAACTTAGAGGCATTTATGTAATATCATCCATTATTTATATATAGATATTATTATATGTCATTATATTCAAATCAAATTATAGTAATTTTATATTCATCTCCATTTATATTAGATATATTCCTATTTCCGTGTATTATAGGACTTCAATATATTAGGCATAATCAGACTAAAATCAAATCCAATTATAGTAATTTTATATTCATCTCCATTTACATCCTAATAGTATTCCACTATTCCTATTTTCGTGTATTATAGGACTTCAATATATTAGGCATAACTAGACATGCCTAATAACTAGACATGTTTTTAAGAATCATATATATATATATATATATATATATATATATATATATATATATATATATATATATATATATATATATATATATATATATATATATATATATATATATATACTGTATTTTTTTTCCTGAATAATTTTAGGCTTAATTTGTTGATGTATCAGTAACATTGTTCAATCTCTGTGAATAAAGATTATTCCTTTGTTGTGTAGTACCATACAGAATTTACTATACAATCATGTAAATGAAAATTAAAAGTTTCATATTTAGTTCTTATTAATATACATGCAATTGCATATATTGAAAAAGTAGTATATAAATTTAATAAAGTATATTTTATTGGTAGTTTTATTTTTTAAAAAATGCAATATTTTGCAACTATTTCAGGTAAGCACTTTAGCAAGTTGTTTGTATATTATATTTATTAATTACTTTATTTTTTTTATTTTGTGAATATATTTCATGCTTGAAAATTGAATTGTAGATGTATCATATCCAATTCTTTATCATAATATTCATTTTATTTTATTGTGATGAAGATTGTATTTATGAGTTTAGACATGGGATGGATTAACAACTATCATATTCTTTTTAATTTAATTGTGATGAAGATTATACAGATGAGTCAAGAGTTTAAACATTGGACAAATTAACATGGATGTTAGTAAAGGATGTGGCAACACCTAACTTGCACAACTAATATATAGATTAATTAGTCTGGGTGTAATCAGAATTACTGATAAATGAGAATACAGATTTTCTTTTGTTGTTTACTAAAATGTTTGTAATAATTTGTTATTTTAAAACAGTGTATTAAAAGTTTATTATTTTAGTTAATTACCCATTTTAAATATCAAATCTTATTTAATTGATAGTATGTTTTTGGAAATCAATAAAATAATAGTATTTTTTTTTTCAATTGTAATATCGCAATGTTTCCTATATAGTTATTACACAACAAAACTTTAAAATGAATAAAGGTTACATATCGTATTTACACATGAAACTTATTTACAATAATAGTTGTTAGTATCATAAAATCACTTCAACATAGAAATATTAAAAAAAATTGAATTTAATAA